TCTGAGCTGTCAGCACAGAGCCCGACGCGGGGCTCGAACCCAGGGATCGCGAGATCATGACCCGAGAGGTCAAAGTCGGGCGCTCAACCGACTGAGCCACCCAGGCGCCCCCACGGTTAGGTTCTAAAGGCTGTATCTAGAATAAGAGACAAAATGAAAAAAAAAAGGTAGAAACCTCTGAAATGCTTTGATAGCTGTTACCACCACAGTTATATCTAGAGAGCTCCTCTCAGAGACCTCCCTGTGTCTTTGAGAGAGACTGTGATGCAGGCTCTTGGAGTCTTGAGTTATGAAAGGAATTTCTTAGGTTAATGGAGGAACATTCGCCCTGAATTTCGTTGGGCCATTCGGTTGCAGTTTCTGCCCGTAGAATTTACTGAGAAAAGGAAGTTAAAGCAAAACCAGCCTGACTGAGGACCCCCGCTGGCTTGAAAAGTTCCAAGGCTCCTGGACTTAGCAAATGGCTGACTGGAGAGAAAATAAAGTTCCTAGTAGCAACGTGACTCAGGAAAGAAAGAGAAAAAAAAGTCCACGCAGTTTACAAGTCAGATGATCCAGAGAGGAAAGACAGGTTTTGATTTTTACACTGTGCAGAAAGTCTCAAGCATTCATACCCGAAGCCTAGGAGGTTTGAGTGCACACACTCCTAAGTTTCCTGATGAGGGAGGGGGGAAGGAAGAGAGGAGGAGCAGAGGAGAGGGAGAGGGGGAAGGAGAGAGGGAGGGCAGGGGAGGCGGAGGAGTGCAGGACACTGAAGCCAGGCTTAATTCCTTAGCAACACAGCCTCCTCCCACGCAAATCAGTGCACCCCAGCAACCCCAGGACCCGGCCGCCTGCTAAAGGCCCCTGCTAAAGCCTCAGCACTTGCAGGCCTTAATTAAGCAGACAACACGCTTAATGATTTCGGAGTTCTACAGATGACTACCCATGTAGAAAAAGCGTGGCTTGTGAAGCTATTCTATTTCACCAATAAAGACTCTCCCCCACAGAGGTTACTATAAAAATCCTCATGACGCCCCCACTTGTCAACGGAGTGGACAAACACAACAATCTTAGATATGGAGAAATGGGCAGATACAGCCCAAATTATTTGCTTTGAATTATTTCAGAAATCAGCAAGAGGAAATCCTATCCTAAGCATTAACGTTACCCTCTTGGCTACTTCTATTTATGTAAACAAAAGTTGAGAAATCCCTAGCAAGTGTGAATGAAAAATGGCCAAGGGGGCGCCTGGGTGGCTCGGTCGGTTAAGCGTCCGACTTCAGCTCAGGTCATGATCTCACGGTCCGTGAGTTCGAGCCCCGCATCGGGCTCTGTGCTGACAGCTCAGAGCCTGGAGCCTGTTTCAGATTCTGTGTCTCCCTCTCTCTCTGCCCCTCCCCTGTTCATGCTCTGTCTCTCTCTGTCTCAAAAATAAATAAACGTTAAAAAAAAATTAAAAAAAAAGAAAAATGGCCAAGGTTGTCGGCATATGCCTCTGCCTAACAAAGGATAATTACACCTTGTGTTACCTCCCACTCGAAAGATTTTTCTGCCAGTTTTCGGTACATTGCCCCTCGGGGCCCACCTCTTATTATATCTATCTTCTCCAAAAGCCCCAGAATTACACATTCTAGCTGTAGACGAGCACAGCCAATCTGCTTCCAAACCTCTAGATACCTCAACTATCCAGTTTGCCTTATAAGAAAGAAAAAGTCCTAAAGGGCCATCTGCCGGAAGTAAGGCATACAAACCTCAATCCATCAGAGTTGGGATCAGATTATATTCCACTTGGCAAATACGTGAGACTCAGGCTACAGACGCCTAATGCAACTGTAGTAGTGTTTCTTTCCCTGTTTTTATGAGGAGCACTTCTTAATTCTGTGCCAAAATCTCTTCCCGAAAGTGAAATAGACGTTTCTCTTAAAGACACCTCCTGGCCTTCCTTGTCAACTAGTGGGACAATCCTATGCACGCCGTTCTTTCTAAGTGTCGTTCTCCGCCCAGACACAGAAGAATTTCGGAGCCCTGATATCGCATGACCAGCGGGAAACATCCGTGAAATAACTTTTTCCTTAACACTCTCTCTTAGACCAAACGCCCAGCATTCACGTTCTGCTACAACGACCCTTTAATCGCAGAAGAGCGTCCGGGTTACATAAGCACGAAATTAAGTTTCAGCTATTCAAAAAGTTCTCTGCTCCGCCAACCGCCAACCCCGTCTCCCCTCCTCCTATTCTCCAAAGCCCGGGAAGCCTACCAGGACTTGTAAATGATAAAAGCCCCCACGATTTGGGCGGGCGGCTGCCGGGTCTCCAGCCTCCGAAGCGCACTCGCCGGGGTCGGCGGGGAGAGTGCGGCCGGCCGGGCGGCGTACGCAGCGGGAGGCGCGGTGACAGCGGGTCTCTGCGTCCCCGCTCACTGCTCGGATCTACCGTGCTCGCGCGCTAGGGATCCGGGAAGGAGGAGGAAGGGGGAGGAGTCGGAGTCTGCACCCCGTGAGACCCTTGCGCAAGGTGCTTTCCAGCTGTGCCGGCTGCAGCCGGGACGCGCGCGAACCGCGGAAGCGCAGCAGCGCGGGCGGCGGCCACGCCCCCACCTCCCAGAGCCCCGCAGTTTGCCCCTCAGTCGGAGGTGGGGAGGGCGCACCACTAGGAGGGCTGCGACCACAAAGACCCCCCCCTCCGGAAGTCCCCGAATGCAGGGTTACCTGGCGGACGGAGCGCTGCAGCCTCGGCCCCACGACGGCTCGGTGCGCCGCTGGTGGCCGGCCCACCGGAGTCGGGCGCGCAGGGGCAGCGAGATCCGGCGGCAGCAGACGCCGGAGCCAGGGCGATCGGCCCCAGAGCGTGGCGCGTCGTCCGGACCCGAGCGTACCAGTGAGCGCGGGGCCGCCAGCTCAGGCCGCACGTCCTGGCCGCCCTCGTCGGCCCTTGACTCACGGCGTCTGAGCCGGCGGAGGGGCGGTGCAGCGGACGCCAGCCGCCGCCTCCCCGCCTTTTCCATTTCCCCTTTCACTCCGTAAACAGAAAGAGACTGCCGCGTTGCGGGGAAGCCGGAGCCCCCGCTCTGG